TGTCCTGACACTAGCCAATTTCTACCAAACACATAAATGAAGTCTATATTTTGAAAACAATTACACATCATAAACATGTAATGCCAGAATATGGTGTCTTTGGTGCTGTCCATGAAATTATGATGTTCTATAACAACACATACAGCTCAAAACAGATCTTCACCCTCAGGAGAGACTTCCGTCTTCCCCACCGCTGCCAGAAAAGGGCTGTCTTTTTTGGTTTGTTTGGTTGTTTTTTTATTTCTTCATTAAAAAAGTGCAGCACAAGCCCTTGGATAGAGTGAAGAAGAATTAGAACACCTGCTGTCTTATTGATGTTTGTGTCCCCAATTGGGAGATTCATGCTCACTATTTGCCCTGTTTACTGCTATCACAGAAAATCAAAGTAAACAAAAATCCCACATTTTGGGATTACAGTACAACAAGAATAAAGAGGAAATCCTCTAATGAGGACATTAGTTTTGGTAACCCTGGTGACAACTAGGGATTTTTGTCTCACTTCTTATTTTGGCTATGGGACAGAAAGTAAAGAGAAATCTCCTTAATGTGTATCCCCCCCTTTCCTGGCAGATTTGCCATTCTTGGAAGCTGTAGTACAGCTTCTATAAATGACACAGGATCCCTGAATGGGGGACAGGTGGATGATTGCTAGCACTGACCCGCCATTCAGAGGTCTTGTGTCATTTATGTAAGCTGTAGTACAGCTTTTATGAATGGAGGAGCTTCCAGGAAAGGGCAGGTATAGTCAAGCTCTCTTGATGAGAGCTCCTGATAGTACCTAAGCGTATTATGGAGGTGAGGGTGGGGTGGAGGGCTTGGAAAGATGAAGATTTCTCCTAAAACATGAAGAATCAGCGCAAGAGATGCATCATGCTAATTGTAAGTTATGTGCCTTGTGCTGATTTTTGTTTTTAAATTAGGTAAAACATAGGCTTTAAAGTGATACTAAAGGTTCATTTTTTTTATTAATAACAAATGTCATACTTACCTGCTCTGCCCCGATCCTCATCTTCTTATGTCCCCTGCCAGTGCTTCTGGCTCCTCTCCCTTGACCAGTGCCCCAAACAGGAAGACGCTTGCTATGGGGGTGGGGCACTGGTGTCTTATGGACACAGAGCCGCAGCTTGGTCCCGCCCCCTGCTCTCTCCTCATTGGCTCACTGGTTGTCATTGGTTCCTACTGCTGTGTCTCAACCAATGAGGAGAGAAAAACCTGGGACATCCGAAGCACATCACTGGATCAAGAGGGGGCACAGGTGAGTATTGTGGAGGGCAGAGCTGTAGGGAGGGGCAACACACAGGTTTTTTACACCTTCATTAATAGACTGCACGAAGGTAAAAAACTTTCAGCCTTTACAACCACCTTAAGTAAATGTCAACATGCACACCCTTAAGTCTATCGCCTATACCTTTTTAATTTGTTACAGGTATTTATATAGCACTGTCAATTTACACAGTGCTTTACATATAGTGTACATTTACATTAATCCATGCCCTCAAGGATCTTGCAATCTAAGGTCCCTAACTCACATTCATACATACTAGGGGAAATTTATACAGGATGTCTTTAAAGTGTGGGAGGAATCCAGCACAGGCACAGGGAGAACATGCAGGAAGGTAGTGCCGTGGTTGGGATTCAAACCAACAACCTTGACCTCCCTGGCAGTATTCCCGAGTGTAGCTCGGGGTTAACTTTCAGTATCAAAAGCAGTAACCCTGAGCTACATTTGGGATTACCCTGCAGTGTTGCTCTGGGATTCCGTTTCACTTGTCCTGCGCTCCCGTGATGTCCCCCCTGCAGCGTCCCCAGCCATCTCCTCTGGCCGATGCCGACATCCGTCTTCCGGGTTTCGGTCCCTGCGAGCGTCGGGACGTACGGGGGCCGGAAACGGTGGGAAATTTAAAAATGTTAAAAAGTGACATTCACTAAATACACTAAAATCACATAGCAAAACATTACTGTATCAAAGCATTTCACATACATTTTGTCCCGAGTGCTTTGTCCTGTGCCCTGCCTGCATTTTTACTGTTCTTTCTGCCTGGAAACTGAGAAATGTCCATGGCGTCCAAAAAGCATCCCTTGATTACATTATTTAATTAAATTTATTATTATATTATTATTTTTAATGATTATTTATTATATTATAATTTATGATTTCGTGTTTCAAATTTTATCATACCCGGGATGTTTACTAGACTCTTGTTTGGACAGATTTCAGCGAGCTATTTCTAAAAATTACAGGCCTACATAATAAAAAAAGACATATTTCCATGCAAAAAAAAAAAGTACCGCTTTGAGCACAGAAATATTGACATAATCAGACCGCTAGGGAGGTTAATGCTTCTAGGCGGAAGTGCAAACCACTCATCCACTGTGCTGCCCATATACACTCTGTTTTCCATATAGAGCTAGTGAAGAGAACATTCACTGAGTGCACCCTTCAGTGTGAACCTGTGGAAAGAGTGAAGAGATCAACTGGGAGATTCACATGGAAGGCAATGCATTATCAATTAGATGAAAAACTATATCCCATGTTAATTACCAAAGCAGAATAAAACAGTTTAGAAAGAAATGCCTTGACCCCAATGATGAGGCGGAAATAATAAGTAGCACTAATAAAATCTGACATCCTTTATGTAAACAAAAGTGTCCATTTATCAAGACTGCTTTGTCTATTCATACTGCATCAAATGACACGAAATTTCATCCAGCGTACGATAAAAATAAGTAAATATTTAAACAAAAGGAAAAATTAAATCAGTCATCAGGAAAAATTTATAATTCAACTTTCTGCCACTGAAAATATAGTTGAATAATCTTTACACTCACTCATAATCATTCACACTTGCCTACATAACTGATGTGAATCTACAATACATAAAGTGCAGCATCAATTTTTTTATGCTATATAAATACTTGTAATAAATCAATCAATCAGTCAAAGATTTTGTAAAAACCCTTACTGCCTTGAGAAAGCATTTGAGGTTTTTATACAATGACTGGACTGTTTTTATCTCCACCCAAAGGACTGAGTTTTGTAATACAATTACATGGGCCTCAGCCTGTTAGTGTGGGATTCAATTTCAACTTTGGCTGGAGATTGTTTGGCAATGATGTCATCACAGTGTCAGCTCCATCCACCCTACAGCAAGGATCCCGCAGAATCTCCTGTCACATCACCAGCGTTCATATAAAGAATTAACAATTATTCCACCTTTTCTGCATGTAAAGAAATGCCTCAGAGAACATTCCTGTCTTTCACATTTAGGCATGAAACTGGAATGAATGACATAAGGTGATTGGAATAACTCAGCTAATCCCAAAAAACTGTCTGTCTACATTCACTGTCACACTCTGAACATTTCCTGTGTTTATAAAAAAAATACAGGGTCCCATTGCTAACCTTTCCTTCTGAAAATACTAGCCGCTTGACTGTCATGCTCATCCAAAGGCTTCATTATTTTAAGTCAGTGACCTATAAAAAGTATGCAGGAGTTCTGACTTGCTGCATGCTGTTCCAAGTCAAGAAAATACTGAAGGAAAAGACAGCCAGGCAACTATCATTTCCCAAAGACAGCCAGCAATAGAAGCCCATGATTTAATTCAGTACAGGTTAAATAAACAGGTCAGCTAAGACATCTCTTTTATAGATGTTTTGTAATGTCACACAAAATTGTGACAACTGAAGAATTTCTCTGGCTATATGCCATAATAAACTTTTTGACTTGGTGTCACAGAACCTTTCACAGGAGACTGTTCTTTCTCTTCTCAGATTCTACAATTACATGCTATGGCAGAGATCTGTCTACACAGTATATGGCAGTTTTGTTATAAAGGCATAGCAGTGTCTGGTCAACACTTTACTTTTTATGGCCGACTAGCAGAATATAGCTCAGTAAAGTGCACATGTCCAGACTAAGGACATTCAATTATTTACATAATCTTAACAGGCATTGAAAGAAAAACTTTAAAACAAGCCATTACTTGAGTTCTGTAGCTGCTTGTACTATAAAGTAATGAACTCTCGAAGATCTTCAAAGATCACAACAAAGACCCTTAGTCTCCTTTCACACTGGTGGACTCCACCAAGTGGATCCACCTGCTCAGCAGGGATCTGTCCGCTGATCCCTGCTGAGCAGGCAAATGATAGATCCGTGTCTGATCTGCTTGTGCAGAGCGTAAAAAGACACAGCCCACTGTTCTCCATGAGGCAGTTGGATTTAAACAGACTGCCTGTGAAAGGCCGTGTGAAAAGGCCCGTGTGAAAGGGCCCAGTTCCGGATTCAGTTGTTTTTTACAGACTCAGAAACACTTGCTGTGTGTTTACATTAGATGGCTGGCAGGGTGCCAAGATTCTGCTGTGGTAGAAAGTGATAGGAACAGCTAATATTTCATGCCTCTATTGTGATATTTTAGGTTGGATTTCTCCACAATGCCTATACCTACAGAGGCGATTGAGGTGTTTTTTTTAAATGTATCTTTCTGCTCATTCAGTATAAATACTTTAGTGTGGATAGTCTGGGCACAGGTTCTCCTTAAGGAATCAAAGCACAGATGCATTCTATAGATAAGTGTGCTTAACAGCAGATCTGGGGAAAATGTTGCTTGTCAGCTTTCATAAGGCAACTCCCTCCCATCTCCTGAAAAACTCTGCACTGCTGCAAGAATTTGCTTTTCCACAATACAAATCCCATTTTATTTAAGAAATATCATTATGTGTTTCTGGTGGTTCCTTCCACCAACTCTTATTCATGTAAAAATGTAAAATGTGCTGTGCTAGAGAACTTTCCTTCCACCAGCTGCTATTTTTGTAAATTCGATGTGCTGCTGGAAGGGAGGGGCTCTTCTCATTCCATTGTTTCAGGCTGCTCTGTGAATGACACCTATAGAAGCATAATACAGAAAAACAGAGAGCACTTATTGCACTGCACATTCCGTGATTACTTTCCTAGTGTCAGCCCAGAGTTTGTTGGCTGCTGTCTGCACTAATCTGCCAAGGGATGACATTCATTAATCTCCCATTTTCCCCTCACCTTCCATTACAGAACAGGTAGTATTTGCCTGGGAGGAAGGTGTATAGTTCTCACAGTGACACATTAACCTGTGCAGTCCAAGAGAAGCTGCAGTGAGCCTGGCAGGTTATCATTTTCTCTCAGTACAACTAACAGGAAAATGTTAATCTTCCCTTTTCTGGCCACCCAGATCCTGTGAGTCTGAGCCTGAAGGTGCACAGCGTTACAACACACACAGCCAACAGAAAACCACTGTGGTGAGCAATTCACTTCAAGGTCTTGATTAATTAAGGCAGCTGTTCATTTATCAAAGCCATCGCGTTGACAGCGTTATTAGTGGTTTTTTAATTATACACATGAAAATTCTAAGACATCTCATGATGCTCAAGGAAGTTTTCCTTGGTCTTCTCTCCATGGAACTGAGCTGCAATTGAGGAGCTCTTGATAGATAAAGTACGGAGAATATAAAACTGCAACACTACAATAGGTGATAACAATTTTATACACCCACTTGAAGACCACATGTGTATTTGCGTTGGTACTTCAATTGTTATGCCGGGATGATGCCTGTTGCTACAAGCATCATCCCGGTATAGTTTTTTTCTGCGGGCAATCAGCTTTTTATAAAAGTTATCCTAACGGCAATTTTGCGGGGGGGGGGGGGCGATCCCTGCCCCCGATGCCTCTCAAGGCTCTCTGTCCCACTGGAGAACCTGAAACTGAAGCCAGTGGTTCTGCCAGCTTATCATAGAGCTTTTCGAAGGACCCTGATCACTTCTATGGTATAGGAAACCGGAAGTGACTTGTACTTTACTTGATCACTTCCGGTTTCCCCGAATGTAAGTAGCTCCATTTTTAAATTGGGAAAGCATCTGATCACACCGATCTTAGGATAATCAGATGCTTTTCAGGGCAGAGAAGACATCTGGGGTCTAATAGACCCCAGATCTCTTCATAAAACGTAGCTGTCACAGCCTATTGCTGTCACAAGGGATGTTTACATTCCGTGTGACAGCAATAAGGCCTCATGCACACAGGGGTTTTTTTCAGCCACTTTTCAGGGCATCAGGCATTTTTTTTTTATGTTAGTAAATGCCCCTCCGTGTTTTCTTATGTGATCATGAACACATAGAGTTTTAGAGACTTTTAGTGACAAGGGGAGTTTAGAGGCAGGAAAAAACCCCAGGGCCAGTACATCCAAGAGGAAGAGTGTTTTGGCAGAAAAAACGCTTGACATGTGTAAACGTGTCTCTAAACACATATACACAGGCCTAAATGCTTGGCGCATTTAGCACTTGAGCGATAATTAATCTGAATGGCCAGAATAAATAATTATTATGGCCAAAATGCTTCTGCCAAGAGTAGGAGCATTTTTAAAATGTCCTGTGTGCATGAGGCCTTAAATGATTAAAAAATAAATATTTAAGAAACTGTGTACAAATAAAAAAAAATAAATGTTTTTTAAAATTAAATCGCAGGTGTTGGCCCCGCACCCACACACAAGGCATTGCCACGAACCTCAGAGCGAGAGCAATTATTCTAGCACCAGGCCTCATGTGTAACTCTCCACTGGTAATTTGTAAGGACTTTTAAAGTGTTGCCTATGGAGATTTTAAATACCGTAGTCTTGAGCCATTTTGTAAGTGTACGCAATTTTAAAGCATGGCATGTTTGGTATCTACTTACTCATCGTAACACCATCTTTTATATTTGACAAAACATTGGGTAGTATATTGTGTTTGTGTGCAATAAAATTCATCAAAGTGTATTTTTTCCAAAAAATGTGCGTAAAAAAAACCCACTACGCAAATACCGAGTGACATTAACAAATTGCAAAGCCCGCAATTTTGATCTCTAGGACCTCTGCTAAAAATATATAGTGCTTGGGGGTTCTAAGTAATTTTCTAGCAAAAAAACCCCCCCAGATTTTTACATGTAAACAAAAAGTGTCAGAAAAGGCCTGTTCTTAAAGTGGATACTCTGCATAGTGTTTTTCACCACACAATGCTGGATGGCTACTGTGACTCAGTTATAATATTATTAATATTATAATTATCACTGAGTCTTATGAAATTTCTTCAGCCTGCCAGATCAAGTATCCAAATCACTGAAATCTCTCCTACAACAAACTACACAAGCAGACTTTAAAGTGTAACGAAAGGCAAAACATTTTTCTTAGTTTTGGATGAGTGGAGAGAGTAGAACACCTGCCAATTTTTATTGTGGTCCCCCATTATGGAGCTTCGTTGTTTCTGTTTGTTCTGTTTACCGTTATCATAGAAAGTGAAAGTAAAAGAAAATCCAACATTTTGGGTCAACACCAGAACTTTGAATACAGGGGGAAATCTTCCAAACAGAGATACTATTTCTGGTAACCCTGGTGACACCTGTTTTGGATATAAGGCAGGAAGTGATGGGAAATCTCCTTTATGAGACACAGATGGCAAAAAACTGACAGGGCATATAACCCTTCCTTTCTCTATCCAAAATAAAAAAAAGGTTTGCCTTTAGTTCTTTAAGCTTGATTTACTGTATAACAAATATTTACTCAGATTCAGGAATACATTTACTCCTGATTCACGAAAGTATATAGACTGTCACATTTTGTACAGAAATTAAATACAAGAGATTGGGTTTTAGAGAAGACAGAAGCTATGTGGAAAAAATACAGATTGTAAACATTATATCAACTTTTCAAAAATTAATTATTAAAGCGTACCTGGCATTACAAGCAAGGACAGCATAATTAGCCATGCTGCCACCTTCCCAGGCCAAATGCTGCAGTCTTAAAAAAAAAAAAGAAAAGCAAAGAGGTTAGTAAATATACTTAACTTACCTGATTTATGTACTGCAGACTGTGACATTGTCAATTCCAACGAGATCTGGGGGAATGCTGAGTACCTTAAATCCTGCAAGAGGACACTCCAGCACAGTGCAACAATTAGAATACTTGCTGGGAGGGAGGGAGATTTACTAAAACTGGTACACTCATAATCTGGTGCAGCTGTGCATGGTAGCCAATCAGCTTCTAACTTCAGCTTGTTCATTTAGGCTTTGACAATAAAACCTGAAAGCTGATTGGTTTCTATGCAGAGCTGCACCAGATTTTGCATGCTCTGGTTTTAGTGCCAGGTCCACAGTAAAAAAAGGTAACAGCTATTTTAAAGGTGTTGCACTTATCAAAATGAACCCTTATCATGGGAGTATGTATTATTTATGTTGTTAACATTGTAAGAACATTTATTTTCAGCATTTTTTACCGCACAGCTATAACAGGGTTTTCAATTGTATTCTCTCTTAATAGGCTCATCTCCGCTCAGATCATACCCACTGCTCTCCGTCATCACCCGTCAGCCCAATGTTGTATCCCACTTGGTCCCTTCACCCTCACACATTCCTGTACTCTCCCCCACACATCTCTCTTCACCTTGTGCACGCTCTGAGACCCCCGCCAGTGAAGCCCCCCAAAGTAGTGAGTCTGAGATTGAGCAGGCAGCCCCTCGTGTGAAAAAGCCACGGCGCAGCAGAACTATCTTCACTGAAATGCAACTCATGGGCCTGGAGAAGAAGTTCCAGAAACAGAAGTATCTCTCAACTCCAGATCGGTAAGTCAAAGGTGGTCGTAAAATGTGTAATAAATATGCAACTGCTCAGTGGCCTTCTTGGATTTAAGGGTCAAATTACATGAGATGAAGGTTGGGTGAGTGCTGGGGCTTCTTCAGATGTGACTCAGACTTGGAACTGGCATTTAGGAATGGGAGGTATTCCTAATGATGTCATAACTATGCTCCTACAGTCAAAAATCCAAGTGGTGTCACATAACCTCCTTTCACTTCCTGCCTGACCAGCACTGAGACATGCAGAATGCTCCTCCCATTTCCTCTTGATGCCATTTGGGAGCAAGTATAGGAACTGTTTGATTTCTGACACTAGTTGCATATTATGGATCATGAAAGACTTCAGGGCATTACACATTATATTATCTCCTTGCGTCTCAAAGGGCAGATCTGACAAGTGTTTTACTTGGACATTAACTGAATTGGTGAGACCAAAAACTGTTCTTACACAAGGGTCATTTGCTGACTACACAACTGCTTTGAGGTATTAGGCTGTGACAGTCTACTGTGGAGTTGAGTTTAACTTGCCTGCTTTCCATAGTGCCCATTATACAACCACTTATTTACAGCTCAAGTACATATAAGCCATAAAAAGACACCTATAGCTTTGAAATAACTTATATCTATATAAAAATCTATTTTGTTGTGTGCGCCTATACAGCACAACCAAGTGTGGAGATCAAGTCTTAGAAAATAGTTATATCAGAGTTATGGCATGTGCAATGAGTGTTTCAGCCAAGCTGCTTGAGGTGATTGTACTGCTTGAACCTTAAAGAAGGGAGGTACACCCCAAAAGCTTGTCCTAAAAATCTGGATGTTAGTGCAAGTAAAAAAGTATCACTGACAGTACTTGTTTCTGGCCAAGCTGCTCACATTGAAAGATGTTTGTGACTAGTTGTTCACAGATATGGGAACAGCATCTGCTGGTCTGGCTACTTTTTTTTTTATGTCTGCGGTACCAGCATACAGCCCTAACTGTTCTGAATAGGAATACAATTGATCAGACAGATCTATAAATCTTGACCATTGCTACTGTTACAATTCAAATAAGGTTTATGCAGTAGTCTAATGAGACTTCTGTCTTGAGACTTTGAGCATCCTAAAGTTGGTCTCCCTATCTAGTTCTGTCTTCTTCCCCATGAGCTTTGTTTTATTTGCAAACAAGAGATACCAGCTCCATTTGTATAGTGATTAAAAATCACTTACATACAGAAACAACAGACAAAAAATAACTTTAATTAGGCAGACTAAAATACGCAAGTAACAGTTTCTCATCTACAAACCATGGAAACAGCAAAAAGTGCCTTAATGAACAAAGTCACAGGAGAGTAAGTGTAATATTTATTCTCTGATTGAAGAAAATAAAAATATCCTTTATTCTGTGGAAATTATCGATTTATGTGCCATTTTAATATGTCCTTTTGTGGTATTGCTTTGGTGTATTTACTAGGCTTTCAATGACCTGTCCACCTTTTTTGTGGGTAAAAGAAAACACAGAACCACAAAAAACAAAATATGCCATTCTGCAACTCTTCAACTACAATCAGACATGTAAATTCACAAACCTCAGTGATCTGAGGAGCTATCAATGGATTTATAACAGAAGATTTCTATCAGTTTTTATGCTCCGGCAGTAGGCACACATAAATATACAGGAGGTTCTATAGACAATAAATGATCCTATTCCTTTTTATTCAGAAGGGCTTTTTAAAAATGCAATTTCTCTGCTCTGTCCCAAATGCTGTGTCGGCATGGCGGGTCCAGCTGTTTCAGGCTTAAATGCTAACCCAGCTGCACAGCACTGTCAGCAGACACAATGGGCAAATCCTCTATATGGTCTTGGCATCTGAGTTGGCACAAGTATGGGTGAGATCAATCGCTTCGCCTATTATCCAGATGCTGAAGATCACAAGCGTTTAGGCAAACAGAAAGAAATAGCTCTGGACTGAGACATTCATCTCATAGACATTAAAATGTCAGCTGAAACCATTAAGAGGCTCAGTGAAAAGTCTGTGGGTAACGGAGAGCCAGGTCCGCCGCTTGTAGTCCAGCCAGATTTTAACAGCATAACAGACGAAAGAAACTTTAGTCTCGTAGCTAACCAAGAAATGTGTGAATTTTTATCATGCAGAGAGACATTTAATGGTTTTGGGTGACATTTATAAGGTCATCAGAGATATTTTCCAAAGCATGATGTCCCCTTGAATATATCTGCTTCTAATCTCCCAAATGAATGCTCCTTCCCCCTTCTGACTAGACGCGGTATCATACAGAAATCATGCTGCTCCCCAAATAAAACCTTGTAGTTCATTCATGTATATTCAATCATATTTTTATATCTGAATTGTTTGTAGTGTTTTAGCTCCACAGTATAGTTGCTACCTATTTATTCAGATTTGGAAATAGTCACAAAGCATAAACAGTTCTGTTGTTTACTTTCTTGTAAGAACTAACCAATCAGCTGTGCATAACTATCCAGCCTGAGTTTATTACTTACAGATTTTCATATGCATTTTTCAGGCTAGACTTGGCTCAGTCTCTGGGTCTGACACAGCTGCAGGTCAAGACGTGGTATCAGAACCGCAGGATGAAATGGAAGAAAATTGTAAGTTGACTTCTTTGTCTTTTAATTGAGCCCATTTCCTGTACATTTACATAAACAGCAATAAACCATAGGCTAAATAGTTTCACCAGCAGGATCCTCATTAAGCAAGTAAAGATGACTATTGCTAATGCAGGAGAATATCATGGTGTTTGAGTTGCAGTATATTGCCAAAAGTATCGGGGTACCCTTCCAAATCATTGGATTCAAGTGTTCCAATCATCTCCATAGCCACAGGTGTATAAAATCAAGCACCTAGACATGCAGACTGCTTCTACACACATTTGTGAAAGAATGGGTCGCTCTCAGGAGCTCAGTGAATTCAAGTGTGGTACCGTGATAGGTTGCCATCTTTGCAATAAGTCCATCCATCAAATTTCCTTGCTACTAAATATTCCATGGTCAAATGTTAGTGGTATTATAACAAAGTGGAAGCAACTGGGAACAACAGCAACGCAGCCATGAAGTGGTAAGCCATGAAAAATGCTGAAGCGCACAGTGCACAGAAGTCACAAACTGTAAATAGCTAAAGACCTCCAAACTTTGTGTGGTCTTCAGATTAGCACAACAACAGTATGTAGAGAGCTTCATGGAATGGGTTTTGCATGGCCGAGCAGCTGCATCCAAGCCTTATATCACCAAGTGCAATGCAAAGTGTTGAATGCAGTGGTGTAAAGCACGCCGCCACTGGACTCTAGAGCAGTGGAGAGAAATTGTTCTCTTCAGTGACAAATTACGCTTCTTTGTCTGGCAATCCAATGGACATGTCTGGGTTTGGAGGTTGCCAGAAGAACGGTACTTGCCTGACTGCATTGTGCTAAGTGTAAAGTTTGGTGGAGGGGGGATTATGAACTGGGGTTGTTTTTCAGGTGTTGGGCTTGCCCCCTTAGTCCCAGTGAAGGGAACACTTAAGGCGTCACCAATACCAAGCCATTTTGGACAATACATGCTCCCAACTTTGTGGGAACAGTTTGGGGATGGTCCCTTCTTTTTCCAACATGACTGAGCACCAGCGTACAAACAAGGTCCATAAAGACATGGATGAGTGAGTTTGGGGTGGAGGAACTTGACTGGCCTGCACAGAGTCCTGACCTCAATCCGATAGAACTCCTTTGGGATGAATTAGAGCAGAGACTGCGAGTCAGGCCTTCTTGTCCGACATCAGTGCCTGGCCTCACAAATGTGCTTCTGGAAGAATGGTCAAACCATCCCATAGACACACTCCTAAACCTTGAGGACAGCCTTCCCAGAGGAGTTGAAGCTGTTATAGCTGCAAAGGGTAGGCCAACTCAATCCTGAACCCTACGGACGAAGACTGGGATGCCATTAAACTTCATGTGCATGTAAGGCAGGTGTCCCAATACTTTTGGCAATATAGTGTATATATTTTACATTCACGTCAATCGCTAACCCTCAAGCAGTGTACAATCTAAGGTCCCTAACTTGCATTCATACATACACATATTAGGGCAAATTTAGACAAAAGCCAATTAATCTATCAGCATGTCTTTGGAGTGTGGGAGGAAACCCACGCAGGTGCAGGAAGAACATGCAATCTCCGTTCAGGTAATGCTGTGGTTGGGATTTGAACCGAAAATGTACAAAGCCAATTTTAGTCTTAAGAGGGCATGACCAGAGAATTGTGTGGACTCACCAACAGAATTCAGGAAACAAGGGTAGTAGATAATGTAAGATCCAGGAATATAGAGCTCAGAGTATTATCTCTACTCTATGGTTGATTTACTAAAACTGGAGAATGCAAAATCTGGTGCAGCTGTGCGTTGTAGCCAATCAGCTTTTAACTTCAGCTTGTTCAATTAAACTTTGACAGATAAAATGGAAGCTGATTGGTTTCCATGCAAAGCTGCACAAGATTTTGCACTCTCCAGTTTTAGTTAAAGCGGAGTTCCACCTAAAAAAAAAAGAATAAAAGTCAGCAGCTACAAAAACTGTACTACTGACTTTTAAAATACACTTACCTGTCCCTCAGTCTAGCGGTGTCTTCACCACCGCTGATTTCACTGGCCGTCTTCTCTTCCTGGCACCGGCATCTTCAGTGTGAGCACCCGGCTGTGACAGCTTGCAGCTTCACAGCCGGGTGCCCACTGCGCATGCACGAGAAGCGCTGCACTTTGTGAATGGCCCTGTAGTCTTCTGGGAACTTTCACATGTCCCAGAAGACTACAGGGAGGGAGGGGGGAGGACAACTTCCACTTCCGATCGCCTAGGCAATCGCAGCAGAAGTGGGAGAGGGTACCTGTCAAATTCAGGTACCCGCTCCCCCTCCAAAGGTGCCAATTCTTAATGGGGAGCGGGGGACAAAGGCACACATGCACGAGAAGCGCTGCACTTTGTGAATGGCCCTGTAGTCTTCTGGGAACTGTCACATGTCCCAGAAGACTACAGGGAGGGAGGCGGGGAGGACAACTTCCGCTTCCGATCGCCTAGGCGATCGCAGCAGAAGTGGGAGAGGGTACCTGTCAAATTCGGGTACCCGCTCCCCCCCCTCCCCAAAGGTGCCAATTCTTAATGGGGAGCAGGGGACGAAGGCTTAAAGTGGAACTTCCCCTTTTGGACAGAGCTCCGCTTTAATCAACTCCTTTATCTCTAAGTATTGGTAAACTGTTTGTATTAAAGTGGAACTAAACCCTCCTACCATTTTCAGCCAATGAAGCTGCCATTTTAGCCTCTGTTTGATCTTCAGCTGTCATGATGCTGCACATGTGATCAGTTATGACACAAAGCACTTAAGGGTTTGACAGCTTGGTTGAGAACACAAGCAAATGTGGCAGATACATTCTTGGCAGGTCCTGGGTATGTCAGTGTTTACTGAAACTGTTACATCGATGAGTTTAGTTCCAGTTTAACACAAAATCAAAAATAATTTTCAGGAGGATAGAGACACAGCTACATATAAAGCCCAAAGCTACATATAAGTCCAATCAGGCAGCAAAAATATTCACTGAACTTTTTTGTAAAATGATGGTAATTCTCTTTCATTTACACAAGAAATATGAAACCCCAAGTTATATACTAAAAGCAATAAAAATGGCCAAATAGCCACATGGCAATACTAATAATAAAGGGGTAACAATGGATAACAGAATGTCAAAATGGATTAATTGGGAATAGATTTCTTTATAACTATCTTCAAAATCAGTTGTTGCTTATCTCTTACTGTGGGAAACAGTTTGTTTTTTTCAAAGTCAATATGGCAGCTCTCTGATGGTGGTAGATGCTACAATTATTTGCTGCAACGCATTTAGGATTGCTCCTGCTTGTATGTAATAACTTGAATCTTTGTTTTTGTCAGGTGCTTAAGGGAGGCCAGGAGGCCCCCACGAAGCCGAAAGGGCGTCCAAAGAAGAATTCCATCCCAACTTCTGAAGAAATTGAAGCAGAGGAGAGGCTTCACAGACTGGCAGAGGAGACACAGATGAAGACAGAGGATGATGATGGGAATCAGGCCCAAGAGGCAGAAGAAGACCAGGGCGACAGGGTGGAGGAAAATGAACAGGAAGAGACCCAAAATTCAGAAACTCCATCTCCACCTCTCCCTTGTACATCACTAGAAATCCTACCAAATGAACAGGAATCCTCAAGATAAAAAAAGAGGACAGCACAATAATAAACTGTACGATGTGGCTTAGGGAGCCTATAGAAGTCCTGAAGTGTGTTCTATGAACTTATCATAGAAACAGACCCGGATCATTACTGAGATCTTCCCTCCGTCCTTCCATCTAGAAAGGAAAAGGTTAAAGCTGCTACGCAGGAGGGAGTAGAACAGAGAATCTCTGTGACTAACGGGGGCTGCGCAGACAAGACTGGGAATTTTTGCTGTGTTTGAAAACAATTGGACAGTGTATATACATGTGTTCTTTATTTTTGTGCCAGGAACTGAAGTGGAAAAGGGTGAACAAAAAGCCAGGCAGCCTTAAAGAAGCTGATTTTCCCAGTGTGATCCACTGGTGAATGCTTTTATTCTAAGTGCCTTTCTTGCATGCTACATGTTGTATAACACGTGGATGTGTTCATTCAGAGATATTGCAATTTAAATCCTTCAAGTAGATTGGTCATATCTTATTGACAAGCTACCACTCAAAAGAACTCTGGAAGAAATGACTTAATGTACTGTGTACAGAGAAAAGACCTGTGTGTTTGTGCTGTTCTGACTTAAAAAGGATAAAACCTAGCAATCAGAAAATGGTCACATGAAAGAAACCATACACTTATGTTGGCTACACTCATCACAACCCGATTCTTTTTTATTATTTAGATTGGCCAACAATCGTGAAGGGCCTCTCCAATTGGATAGACATTTAATGCATTGTTTTGGTATACATTCACATTATATAGCTGTTGGTAAATTTAAAAGTGGCTTTCTGATTGTATATTCAGACTGTAACATGTTTTGGCAGTTTAAGAAGTGCCAGTCTACATTTTTACATAGTTGTAGCCTATCAACATTCATACACCTCTGTCAAGAGAGACTACGGTGCTGTTTGACGGTACATAAGCACACACGTTAACAATGTTTTGTTACAAAATTATTTACATGCAACAACACTTGCATTATCCTTCTGTGTTTCCAGCATGGCCTCAATATCACCTTACAAAGCTGTTTATGTTCTCTGTCTGTACACACAGATCAGAATCACTGGGAGAAGTTTATCAGAAAAAATGAAGGTAGAAGCGGAGCTGTTACCTGTACAAACATAACTGATTCCTTGTTCTGTTTTCCTAGTGCAGGTTTGGGAAGGAAAATTGAGACCTTTTTGGTTGCTATAACCAATAACTTTGCTCCTGCATTTATAAAACCAATGTTACTTTGTGGGACAAATCTGCACTGCACACACAGAGCAAGGCAGGCTGTCTGCTGGGTAGATGATATTTGGGCTTTGTTAAAGATCAAGCAAAAAAAAAAAGCTGGTTTATAAAGATAATCAAAAGACTTGCTTTTTACACTTTACATGCTGGTAAATGTTGTATACGTCTTGTGCATTATGTAAACTCACCTGTTCTCTGTACACAAAAGATCTCTTGTTGTTAATACCACCTTGTTGAAATATAGTGAAACACTTTACAGAAGGAAGATACGCTAGAGCTAATATTTCTCTGAAAATAAGATAGTGAGATATGGGTTTTGATGTTTTTAAATGGGCCCCATCAAAGCAGGAGAGAAAGAGTTGTGCAAGTAATATGGTGGGTTCAAAAACATTAAAACGTTTTGAACATGCCTACACAGAGGATCAGGTACAGGTAAAGACTCACTGGAAAATATCCATATGTAGAAGGGAGTGTAATCCCAGGTACATTTATATTTCATTTACTATGACAATGGACTTTCCTTCTGCAATATCTCATTTTTTTTTTTTGCTGGGCAAATGTTACATGTGAGAAGTTCTCAGGATTTCACAAACCTGCATTCATGCCAAAGAGAATGTTTTATATATTTCCAGCAATAACATTTTTATTAAAGAATATTCTCTAGGTATGAGTTAAATAGGGAACAGACCCTTTATCAAGATTTTAATGCTGTCCCTGTATCCCTGTTAGGGATTTGAACTGGTGACCATTGCCACCACAAGAAAGGAAATTTAGAGTTGTTCCAAAAACAAGCGGTAAGGTGAAATCTTTCTCTGGGGAAACTTGTCCCTGGGTAAACTCTCTAAGGGGGCAATGTCCCTGAATTTGGCAGACTGTTGTGTCTCTGGGACAGAAAGTGAATGGATACTTCCTCAGTGTACAAAGACAGCAAAAAATTATTTGTCAGGGGATTAAGTCTTTCTCTACTCTATCCAAAATGTGAAAAAAAAAACATAACCATGCATACGCTATAACATGACAGTTTCCTTATTTTGTTTTAATATATAAAAGCATTCCCTTTCTTGGAAGGATCTAAGTTATTAAAGAAGTGTGGGGTGTGTAAAAAAATAAACATTTACCATTTACCACTATGCTACAACATCAGTGTGATGCTGCATTTGACCCCTTCTGGCTCCAATCCTAGGAACTGAGTGATCACATAACCAGGTCAGTTCTAAGCAGAAAGTGGCGTGTCTCTGCTCTGTCCCTCCAGTGCTCACTAGAGCACCAGGCAGGAGAGGGGGTGCGCGCACTGGCTTCCACTCTCAGCCAAGGGCTGGGAGCTGGAGGCAGCTAGGTGGATCCCAACAATATGGTCGGGACTCTTCCAGAGCCTGGAGCAGCTCTGTGACATTAGTCATGAGTGGGCTTTAGCCCGCTGTCAGCTGATTCTGGTCACAAGATCAAACGTATGAGCACTCTTCTGACCTACAAGAGAAGTATGGCCAAAAAAGAGCTTTGACTATATATCTCTTTTATTGAGTTAACTGACCTATAGAGTTTCATAAGTCAGAAGCAGCAAAGCACACCTGTGTAACACAACAAAGCAGAACAAATACAAACTGTGTAGCACTGCAAAGCAGAGCAAATACATGGCAGGCGCATGTAAATATATCATTAGAAATTATACACAGGAACATTTTTTTTTTCAAACACTACATCTTGATACAATTATTTATACTAAGCTCTCCTTTTCAGTTTTCTCGAACAGAGTGTTCAAAAAAGGCTTTACAATCTCTTTATAACCAAATTTTCTGGTGAGTCTTTACACCAAGAGCAAGAGATCCAAGCTTTGTGCGAGTGACAACATCTGAGTAAATTACTGCTTCCACTAGGAATTGGTAGGTAAAAGGGTCACATACAGATAGAAAGGTTTTCAGGCCATATCTAACTTGGAGATAGATTTAGGATTTTAGACGCAAAGGTGTTGATTTACAAAAGGCAGATAGACTCTGCACTTTGCAAGTACAGTTGCATTCATTTTCCTCAGAGCTTAATGAGTGTGATGAAGCTTCACTTTATAAAGAATAATCAATCAGGTGCATGGAAAACAAAACAATGGATTTTTGCTTGCACATTCACTAAGTCCTGGGGAAAAGGAGTACAGCTGAAAAGTGCATGTCCACATTTTCTGTCTTCCTCAGTTTCCTATGGAATGTGCAAATGTGTTTGAAAACTGTACTGAAAATAACTGTAAATGAAAATGCCAAAGATGGATTGTTTAGTACAGAAAAGAGTGACAACTCCTGGATAGTATGATATATAAGGACAGGGAAAAGATATGGTAAGAAAACTGGTCCAACGTGTGGAACATTCTACGTTAGAAGATGTCTCACATCTCAGGGATACTGACTGTCCTGCCATTATAATTCTCGTGGGGGTTACTGTGACAAAGTCTCAGAACCACATTTCTGACAAAAAAAATTCATTTGGAGTAAGATTTATAATAAAAATCAAATATCTATTTTTAAAATAAAATTAGAAGCGAAAGATTTAGATTTTGTGTGTGTATTTGTTGTCTAATATCTGTACCAACAAATCAGTGAAGAAGTAAACATTTTTTTTTGTTTCCTACAAAGGATATAGTTTCATTCTCATATATACAATACAGTTTTATGTTATTGCAAAGTGTTTACAAACATACTAAACTACCAATGGTACAAGTATGAGGCATGTTATATGAATTATGACTCATAATTATTGATAGCTGTCTATTTCACAGGTTGTAACATAAATTTAATTATGTGATTTTGGAACTTTGTTCTACCTCTGTGACAAATTCAAGAAATATCACTTATGGACAAGGATGGCAGAAACAGGGAGGAAAACAATTATATACAACTTAAGATAAGTATTGAACACATCACTATTTTTCTCAGTAAATATATTTCTAAAGGTGCTATTGACCTGAAACAACCCAAGCAATCCATACATACAAAGAAACCAAAACAAATAAGTTCAGAATTAAGTTATATGTAATAAAATGGAATGACATAGGGAAAAAGTATTGAACACATGAAGAAAGGGAGGTGCAAAAAGGCATGGAAAGCCAAGACACCAGATAAACTCTATCCGTAATTAGAAAACAGTCTTGCCCCCTGTCAGTGCAAATTAATATCAGCTGGTTCAATCTCAACTGATGGCCTATAAAAAGGTGTCTCAATATCAAGGGTGTCACACAAAAAACATCTCATGATGGGTAAAAGCAAAGAGCTCTCTTGAGACCTCCACAACCTTATTGTTGAAAAACATACTGATGGCATTGGTTACAGAAGGATTTCTAAACTTCTGAATGTTCCAGTGAGCACTGTTAGGGCCATAATCATGAAGTGGAAAGAACATGATTTCACCATAAACCGGCCCCGACCAGATGCTCCTTGCAAGATTTCTGACAGAGAAGTGAAAATAATTATCAGAAAAGTTGTTTGTCCAAGAGCCAAGGACCACTTGTGGAGAGCTTCAGAAAGACCTGGAATTAGCAGGTATATTTGTTTCAAAGAAAACAACAAGTAATGCACTGTCCAAAAGTAAACCCCAAGCCTTATCTGACCCCACTACATTGAATACATATCAAACAAAAAGGTTGGAAATTGCAGCTGGATTCTCAATACGCAATGACAATCAGACATCAGAAGAGAAATCTTAAAGTGGAGTTCCGTTCCCCACCGCTACCCAACCCCCAATGCGCAAAAAAAAAATGTAAACATCAGCAGCTGAAAATACTTTTAATATTAGGGCATG